AATAATTTGACGAAATCGAGAGTTGGCTGTGGAATTATTGTGCGACGCTTACTTTAAGCGACTAAAATCTGTTGTTAATTTTAAAGTTCATAGATGGCTTGGTTTAGGAGACCCGTGTTTTCTTAATCCTTCCGTTTCTTTATTACTACAAAAAAAAATATCTGAAAGCTATCAATTCATAAAGCTTAAAAGGTACTGTACATACATACAAAATAGCAGTAAAAATTCAATATACAAAACAAAAACCCCTTCAAACACTTAGGTAACATAATAGAATTCACAATATATGTAAAATATAGTTTATACAAACATCAGCATATCTCATTTTGGAAATAGCAACGTAGTGTTCTGTAGAGACGGCAAATCAAGTTGCAACGTAATTGTTTTTAAAACATACTTCAACTCAAAACCTTACTCGTTTAATCTTCACCACCGCCATCATTCATCGTCGGTCGCTTTCCTTCCGTTCTAATTTGCCAGCGCCAAAAAAAACTATAATTTACAAATTGCTATCGTCTATGGCTCACTCAATAGCACACGAATGCTCACGTATATGCAACATACGGTTATTATTAAATACTGATCTTTCTCAAGCTCCCACAAATCGGGTCCATTCACCGGACCTCCCCGTTCTCCATTGCATCGACGCGCAAATCGCTCAATTCAAAGAGAATTGACGATAATATTGTTTTTTAACGATTAAAGGTGCAGCCCTGCAATTGCTCGCACGCTCGCTCGCTCCAACGTCCGGCCTTAAAGAGTTTTTCGCCCGACTCTTCAACGCGGGCCGAGAAAGTGTCTATGGAAGAGGTGTGCGAGTACCCACCACTTTACCCCCCCACCCACCTCACCCTGCGCACGCGGCAACCCGCCCGCTGAGCGACAGCTACAATGGTTAGTTTTGTACATTACTGGCGTCCATGTAAAATGCCCGTCCACCCCCCACCCGCCCCCCCCACCCCCGTACGCTTTCATTGCACGCGCAGTCACCCGATCCTAGTGGTCAAATCAAAACGAGCACCCCCTCCTCCCCGCCCCGTTAAAAAACCTCATCGCGCTCTGAACGGGTCCCCCAATCACACAAACACCCACAAGCCATTGGAACAGAATCGTCGGGACCGCCGGGGACGAAAAAAACTAAACGCAAGCGACGACGTTCCGAGACGATGGAAACGCGAACGCACAGAAGACGCGATTGGCACGTTAAGAGAACGATTATCGCTTTCCTGGATTTCACATCGACAATTAAAAAAAACATAAATACTATTCTATTATTTGAAGCTTTCGTGACTGC